ACCTGAGCCAATTTGGCCAGAGAACCAACTATTAGGTCCTTTTGATAAATATCAGCAGCCTTCAATAAATGGGCTTAGGTCCATTTCTGTCAGTGCTGACAAAGGAAACGTGTAAGCCAAATTTGGAGAAACACAGTCCTCCATACTTTGACTAGAACATACAGTAAGGGATGAAAGTAGGCAGAAAAGCCGTAAGGGAGAATGGAATATAAAGAAAGACTGGAGTTGGAATCACTAGGACTTGAAATACTTTCTTTTCCATGAAGAACAAATATCACATGGTGAAACCCAGGATACCACAGACCTTACAGAGCAGATAATTTTGTTTCTAGAATTCATAGGCTCAAACAGCACTAGTCAGAGGGATATATGTGCTATTTTGTGAATCTATGTAATGGCTTAGTGATTCTCCTGGGCTAGTTCTCCCTGTTTGTAGGAGACAGACTACAGCAGTCAAGGGCCAAGAATGCCAAGATTTGTGTACAGAAACATGTTTATCCATGTCAACTCTGAAAGGATATCTAACCTACTGCATAATCAGGGGCAAAAACTGCTATATTAGAGCCACAGCCTCTTTAGGCAGGTCAGTGAGGTCCACTTATTTTATTTAAATGTGTGTATGTGTACGTGTATGTGTGTGTGTATGTGTGTGTGTGTGTGTGTGGTTTATTCATTTGGACCCTACTGAAACCTGTGTCCAGTGAGTCTGCATTTGGTAAGTTAGCACATCTCCAGCGGTGTGCTATGTGAGGATAAGGATGGTGACAAAGTAATATCCAATTTCTTGATCACTAAACAACCCTACTTATCCTCTTACAAAGTCAATGACAGGAAAAAAAAAAGATGATCCAAAAACAAAAAAGACCATTTCCAATAACTTCATTTATTTGCTTTTTTTTTTTGAGAGGGTCTTGCTCTGTTGCCCATGCTGGAGCCAAGTAGCACAATCCCAGATCTCCTCAAACTCCCAGGCTCAAGCGATCCTCACACCTCAGGCTCCTGAGTAGCAGGGACTATAGGAGTGCATCACCATGCCTAATTTTTTTTATTTTTTGTAGAGACAGGGTCTTGCTATGCTGCCTAGGCCAGTGTCAAACTCCTGGGCTCAAGCAATCCTTCTACCTCCTGAAGTGCTGGTATTACAGGTGTGAGCCACTGCACCTGCCCACACCTTCTTAATGAGGATCAATGTATTTTTATTTATTTATTTTTAGAGATGGGGTTTCACCATGTTGGTCAGGCTGGTATTGAACTCCTGACCTAGTGTTCCGCCCGCCTCGGCCTCCCAAAATGCTGGGATTACAGGCGTGAGCTATCACGCCCGGTGGATCAATGTATTTTAACCTATATTACTTCATTCAACAAGTAATACAGCCACTTAAGAGATAAAGAGAAGGGAAATGACTCACTTAAGGTCACTCAGCAAAAAGGTAAGTCATTTAACAATTAACTACAAGCCATCCATTAATTGTGTAAAGGGAAGAGGAGATTCACTCACATCCCTAGAGGAGGCAGGATCCCTTTTCCTAAAGTGATAAGAAATCTGGAAAAACAGGCCCACTAACAGGTACAGAGCCAATATAAGCCATAAAAGTCATCTGGTGGTTACATTATTTACCATCAGTTCATCATCAGTAAGTTCACGGTCTAAATTAAGAGTTTATAGACTTTAATAACATTAAAATCTGAATCCTATAGAGCAGATCAGTAGGAGACACACCCTTTGTGGACCCAGGCCTCAGGCAGAGGTAGGACAACGTGGGAGTTATATTTAGAAATTTAATTCTTCTGCTATCACCAGCTTTATTTCCTAATGTACTTAGCAAAAAATGCCAGGAAAAACAGAATTATTATCAGGGGAAGTAGAAGGATGAAGATTAGAAAATGGAGATAACCAGGAAGTCTGCTTCCTCTTTTTAGTATAGCACACTTTGGAATACAAAATGAAAGTTATCTTGTTAACCATTAAGTGCCAAACTGGTACAAGCAGCACAATCACAAATATCTGACTGCTCAAGCTGACTCATAAAAATCTAAAAACATTTCATGCTTTAGGCTTTTAAAACACCATCATTTTAACCCCATCTCTATCAATCGTATTATTTTGAAACTAATGTAAAAAACATTTTTAACCCAGTTCTGGAAACTGTCATTTAAATGCAGTGAAAACAGAAAGCCACATGCAATGAGATTCTAAGGCATTATTATTCCTACACTTATCCTGGATTTACTGAATCAGTTGTTAAACACCTGTGCTATTTTACCAAAATAAATACATACACTTAACTGAAGATAAGGGTTATCTAACAGTCAAACGGTATCCCTTTCAGGGAATATCAAAATCCTTAAATAAAAAGCCATTTTTAAATTAATCGTAATAATACTAAACTCTCCATTAAATTTTCTAAGAATTCCAGTTCAAATCCCAGTTTATAATGTCTGTAATAGGCTGAAATCTCTTTTCAGATCAAAACCAAGTGCTATCATGTAAAATCAAAACTTTTTAAGTTATAAATATAGGAAGCCAATAAATTTGGGCCAAAGGTTTTTATTTTTTTATTTTGTAACCATACACTGACTTGGGTTACAATGTATTTCTCCCAATTCTTTTGAAAATAAAGACATTTTAGTTATTTTTTAAAAGAATAGAAACAGAAGGAGCTGGAAACAGCCAATTGCAAAGAGGCACCAAGTTACAATTTTTCGATATGAAGTACTTTTGTTGTAAGTACAGGTATTGTATGTACATCCTTAAGAATATGTAATATACTTAGTCGATTTAAGATATTTAGCAAAATAACCCACTACAAAAGTTACAGAATAGCAAACACTTGACTACGAGTATGATAAATTATGCTGAAAAGGAAAAATTACTCAGCATGTGACATTATCCCTTTGAAAACAACCACACGTGCACACACACATGCATACAAAAATCAAAAACTACCAGTTTCTCTTTTTTTCTCCTAGTTTTCAAGAATGCTACAGAAGTCCAGCTCTGTGAATTACGCAAAGGACAGCAAACATTAAGCTGCCTCCATATTTATGCTACTGTACTTCCATTTTTAAAACAAGCATCTCAACTCCCCAGATACCATCATCCACAGAAACCATGCAGCTATCCAGCAGACTTTCAGTGTCACCATTTATTATTTATAGCGTTAAATGGGGGAAGTGGCTCTGATGTCACCAACCCTACCCAGTGGAATCACTGACTCAATAAACATTTTCACACTGAAGAAAATCTGGCTAGGAAAACATTTTGCTGGGTTAAGTAGATTCTTCCACCTCTCCTCTCAACCAAGGGGAAGTTGTTACCGTGTTAGGACAGATACAAAGAAACTGTCAAGGCTTCCACAGGAAGAAATCCTGGACACGTCCGTTTGCTGATGCGGACTTCCTCTTCCTAACTCTCCAGAGCCCAGTTTGATTTCCCTCATGTTCAAATTGGCAGGTAATATCTGCCATATTTTATTGCTTCCACCAAATCATCCACCAATTAGCAAATTCTTCACTTCCAGCCACTCTCTCACGGCCCTGTTCCTAAAAACCCCTTCTGGCTTCAAATTCTAAAGCTTCGGAGGAGGGTAGAGAGTGTCCACGGACCGGGGAGTCTGGCCTGGCTGCCAGTGGTTTCTAATAGAAGAGTGGTCGTTTCCCCCGGGGGCCAAGGATTCCCCTCTTTTTTTTTTTTTTTTTTTTTTTTCTTTCTGAGAAGAAAGAACTCCCGGCAGTGATGCGGAGGGCTCCCTCCCCCATCATCCCCAATTTCCGAACGCAGCTCTGGGAAACGTGAAGTTGCGGCTTCTCTTTCCTGGGGGATGGAATCTAGAGCACCTGGGGCCTTGCTATGCAAACATCCCTCTCCGCCGAGTAGGAAACCCTTTGTCCGAGAAGCCGGACACCACCAGGGCCCGGGAAAGAGGCCTCCTTATCCGCCACAGCCTCAAACCCGAGAGCTCCCTGCCCCCCAGCTCTGCAGGGCCCATCCTGGCATCCACACAGACCTAGGCTGGGGAGTGGGTGCTGAAAGCCCTCCTAGGACATCGAGGCCCGGGCGGCCCCGACCGATCTCCTCCCTACTCCTTCCCACCACCTCGCTCGGCCTGAGTGGGGCTTGCAAGCGCGGTACGGGCCTGGGCCGGAGACACAGAGGAAAGGGGGGAAAAAATCCCCTTCTAAAAGAAGGAGAATGGGGTGCCAGAACGAGTGAGACCTAAGTCTACAGCAAAAGCGAGCGAGGGTCGTCCGAGAGCTGGGACCCGAGACGGGACAGAGGGAGGGGGAGAAGCGAGCGAGGGGCACGGAGGGGGCCGGGCCAGGACCGGCCTGAGATATCGAGGGATCGGAGGAGCCCGGGCAGGGTTCGAGGCCAGGGAAGGCTAGGGGCCCGGGTCTGGGCCGAGACGGCGGGGAAGGGCCAGAGCCGGCCTCGCACCGGCCTCGCACCGGAGGTGGGCAGGCCCGCCCGGGGCCGGACGGACGGAAGCACAGACGGTCCAGCGGGCCGCACTCACCATGAGCTCGATGGTCTTGTCCTCAATCACCGAGTCGGGCTCCATGGCGGCCCCGGCGGCCCCGCCTCGCTCTCCCCGCGCAGCAGCGAACGGCCCGGGCGGAGGAGGCGACGGCGGAGGCGGCAGAGGCGGAGGCGGCTATCGCACCCACTCTAGCTGCCAGCCCGCCCGGGCCGCCGGCAGCTCCGCCCTCCCCCTCGGCGGACGCAGTACGCAGAGCGGGAACTACACCTCCCAGCAGGCGCCGCGGCCCGCAGAGCGTTGTGGGAGCGAGCCGCCGACACCGGGCCGCTGGCTCTTGGCACCCGAAGCTGAACTCCTAGCTGAGAGTAGCACTGTACTGTGGATGTAGGACGTGTAGACCTGAAGAGTTAAGAGCGTGCTCATATTAGGGCCTCGAGAGCGCCACGACTACATGGCCCAGAAAGCCGTGCGCCCAGGTTCTACTTCCGGGTAGTCTCTCCTGACTTCCTGGCAGCCCAAGGCTGCCCGGACCGGGACGGAAACTCCGAGGCAACTCCTCACTAGTCGGAGGTCCTGCGTGTGCGACCCATTTCCGCACATGCGCGGTCCGTGTCGCAGTGCCCACTGGACGCTTGGGTAGCTGCGCTGCGGTCCGCCAGCGTCTGGTAGTAAGGGCAGATGGTGGAGACAGGTGGATTCTAGGAGCGTTAGGAAGGTAGGTGTATGGGCCTGGGTCTCAGGTGTGGGAAGGGGCCAGCGAGTGAGAGAAGCTCGGCCCAGGGAAGAGGCTGAGAGGCTGGGCATCCTAGGAGTGAGGGTTTGGAGATTTCTTCGGGAAAGAGGGAGTTTTGGGAAACGTGCTGTGGTGCTGTGTGTGTATGTCACACGATCTGCGAGGAGCTGCAAGATTAAAGGAACCTGCGGATATCGAGTCCGTCTCATTGATTCGTTCAGAAATGGTATTTTTTTGTTTTGTTTTGTTTTGTTTTGTTTTGTTTTGTTTGAGACGGAGTTTCACTCTTGTTACCCAGGCTGGAGTGCAAAGGCGCGATCTCGGCTCACCAAACCTCCGCCTCCTGGGTTCAGACAGTTCTCCAGCCTCAGCCTCCTGAGTAGCCGGGATTACAGGCACGCCCCACCATGCCCAGCTAATTTTTTGTAGTTTTAGTAGAGACGGGGTTTCACCATGTTGACCAGGATGGTCTCGATCTCTTGACCTCGTGATCCACCCGTCTCGGCCTCCCAAAGTGCTGGGATTACAGGCTTGAGCCACCGCGCCCGGCAGAAATGGTTATTTTTTAAGCATCCAGCTTCTGCTTCGTACCGCTCTAGGCACTGAGAATCAGCTCTGAACATGGCAGACAAGGCTCCTGTTCTCATGGAGCTTAATTCTGGTAGAGGGACGACAGACATTAACCAAAAGAGTGATAGTGGCTAAGAAGGAGCACACAAGCGGAGATTGCTAGTGAACTCAGCCTCCAGCTTAGGTCTGTCAGTGCCCTTTAACCAAATCCCTCCAGGAACACACGGATCGTTGAACAAGCTGTGTTTATTACTAGTTGCAGTGACTGAAAACACACATTGAGGAACGATGGGGCATCTCGGTAACAGTTTATGATTCGGGAGAGGCTTTAAGGAAGTGTGGGCTTCACTGGATTAGATGCTGTCAGGAAGAGAGGGTCGTTACGTGATTGAGCATCTCAGTTCATCCTATCTAGTGGAAGGGAATGAATACCTGTAAGGCTAAAGCTGTACAGGTAAAGAAACAGCAACCTGGCCGGGCACGGCGGCTCGCGCCCGTAATCCCAGCACTTTGGGAGGCCAAGGTGGGCGAATCGTTTGAGCCCGGAAGTTCCAGACCAGCCTGGACAACAAGGAGAACATCGTCTCTACAAAAAATACAAAAATGAACTGAGCCTGGTGGTGTGCGCCTGTAGTCTCAGTCACTTGGGAGGCTGAGGTGGGAGGATCGCTTGAGCCCAGGAAGTGGAGGTTTCAGTGAGTGGAGACTGCACCACTGCACTGCAGCCTGAGCGACAGAGCCAAACTTTGCCTCAAAAATGGGGAAAAAAAAAAAAAAAAAAAAAAAAAAAAAGCAGCAGCAACTCCCTCTATTAGCCAATCAGGGGTGTTGAAGTCATTTTTTGTGGTTTGGACAATCACCATGTTTTATCTGTTTGAACCTGATTATAGAGTGGTCTTGTATTTGTCTAGATCTGTCATGGTCACAGAATCACAGAATCGTCTGATGTTGATGTTCTTTGAAATTGTTTATGTTTCTGCAGGAGAACACAAACCCTAGCTCTAAGGGCCAGGCCATGGTCTAGTAACATCATGGCTTGGCTGATTGAACCAGGCCAGCTTCCAGATATCAGAGGCTGCTTTTCACTTTCTCAAAGTGTTTTTTCATTCTCTCTACCTGTAAAGTGGAAGGGGCTGAGTGACCTCTAAATCTTTTCATTCCCAAGGGCTAAATTAGAGTAATTTGCATGCATTCAAGACACAGTTGAAGTTCCCTGCAGGTAGATTGAAGTTTCATAGTCCTTACCTGGTGCTTTTTACAAAGAGAATTGAAAGAAAAGCAATAGAAAGAGCACAGAATGAGAAAGTTTTTGCCACTGGCCTGCTGTCTGTGTAAAGCAAGGGTTATAAATGACCTCTGTTTCAGTTACTTATTGCAACACAACAAACTACCCAAGACTTAGTAGCTTAGAATAACAATGGTTTATTATTATTTTACAATTGTGTGGGCCCACCGGGGCTGGGCCAGGGGCCCACATGGTGTAAGCTGAGGTTACACATTGGGCTGCCATCAACTGGGAGCTCATTCGAAATGACTTTTCATCCTCTAGGGCCTCTCTTCTCCAAGTGGCTTTTTATCATTCAAACGTCTGCATAGTGACTTGAGAAAGGTCAAGCCCCAGTGAACAAATGCTTATCAAACCTCGGGTTGCACCACACTTGGTAATGTTCCACTGGCCAAAACAAGTAGTGTGGCCAGACCCATAGTCAGTGTGGGAAGGGGTATGAAAACAGAGAGGCATGGGGTAGGAGTCACAAACTGGATGTGACCCCCAACATATATATATTTATCCTTCACCGTCTTCTTTACTGTTTTAAAAATCCGATAGTTTCATGTTTTCGAATCTGAATTTCCAGCTTTTCTTGAAAAATTAGGATATCTGGCCAGGTGTAGTGGCTCACACCTGTAATCCAAGCACTTTGGAGGCCAAGGCAGGTGGATCACCTGAGGTCATGAGTTCATGACCAGCCTGACCAACATGGGGAAACCCCGTCTTTAAAAGAAAAAAAAAAAACGAAAAATTAAGGTATCTGGCAACTGGATCTACATGGCAACAATATGCAGGAGTTAAATAGCAACTATATTTCAGCATATGTTCTATGGTTTTTCACAGTTACTATCACTGCTTTTTGTCTTTTTTCTGCATGCTTCACTCATTTAAGTTGCATGCCTAAGCTGTATAGATATTTAGTTTGCATCCCCTGGCATTGGAACTGTATTGGAGATAAATCAAGGTTTCTGTCCTTTTATTAAAATCATCCCTCGGCTGGGCGTGGCAGCTCAAGCCTGTAATCCCAGCACTTTGGGAGGCCGAGGCGGGTGGATCATGAGGTCAAGAGACCGAGACCATCCTGGTCAACATGGTGAAACCCTGTCTCTACTAAAGATACAAAAAATTAGCTGGGCATGGTGGCGAGTGCCTGTAATCCCAGCTACTCAGGAGGCTGAGGCAGGAGAATTGCCTGAACCCAGGAGGCAGAGGTTGCGGTGAGCCCAGATCGCGCCTTTGCACTCCAGCCTGGGTAACAAGAGCGAAACTCCGTCTCAAAAAAAAAAAAAAAAAAAAAAAAAAAAAAATCATCCCTGAGGGCATTGGGAGGGGCCACCATCTGTGGCTTCGATATGATCTATTAAAAAAAAAGAAAAGAAAATTGTATCCCACCTTAAAAGGGAAAAAGTACTATTAATGGGTCAAATTTTAGGACCTCAGTGGGATTAAAAACTCATATATAGGAACTAACTAGGTATGGGGGCTCACGCCTGTGGCTCCAACTCCTCAGGAGGCTGAGGCGGGAGGATCACTTGAGCCTGAGAAGTCAAATGAGAAGTGAGCCATGTTTGTGCCACTGTATTCCAGCCTGGGTAACAGAATGACCAGCATGGGTGACACAACAAGACCCTGTCTCAAAACAAAACAACCACCACCAAAAAAACGTCATCTATATGATAAAAGAAGTCTTGGCCGGGCCAGTGGCTCATGCCTGTAATCCCAGCACTTTGGAAGACTGAGGCGGGCGGATCACAAGATCAGGAGATTGAGATCATTCTGGCCAACATGGTGAAACCCTGTCTCTACTGAAAATACAAAAAATTAGCTGGGCATGGTGGCGCGTGCCTGTAATCCCAGCTACTTAGAGGCTGGGGGAGGAGAATCGCTTGAACCCAGGAGGTGGAGGTTGCGGTGAGCCGATATCACCCCATTGCACTCCAGCCTGGTGACAGAGCAAGACTCTGCTTCAAAAAAAAAAAAAAAAAAAAAAGTCTTATCCAGGATAGTAAGAGGTGGGCTGAGCCAAAGCTTTTTCACCTTGCTCTCACCTCTTCTCACACAAGAACTCCAGTACTCTATTGCCTCAGGCTTGATGACAGCTGTTGATTAGATTTGGTCTTCAAAGGCAGAACACCTTGAGGCATATTTTCCCAGAGTGTATCAGATAGCTCTTCACTGAGGCTTGCAAGACATGACCAAAACAAAGTGTTACAGGTCCCTATCTCCCTGAGGTCAGCCCAAAATTGGTTAGATTGTACAAAAACACAGTGGTACATAAACTGTGTATATTGCAACCCTCCTGGGGTTACAGACAGCACTCTGTAATCAAATACATTCTTTTGCAGCAGAACATATATGTGCCTGTTAGTAATTCATAACTAATCTACCCTTCTTTTCCATGCTTTGAGATACTAGAGCAGGATCCTGTAAATATTTCTCCTCTGCCAGCCAGCACAGTGTTTAACTCTGTCAGTAGAGAGCACTAGAGGAACACAGCAGAATGAAGGGGCTTCTCAATCCTGGTTCCAATGTACTTGCTTTTCCTTCTGGCTTTGTGGCACATGGCAGCAAATGGCTTATAGAACCATACCTTCCTCCGCACACACACAGGGGGCTGGGACATTCACAGAGTGGTGGCTTCCTGGTGAGTTTAGTGGCACCTCAGTGGGCAATTTCCTGCTTGCCAGCCCCAACCTGTAACTCTTTTTTGTTGTTGTTTTTTATTTGTTTTTGAGACAGAGTCTTACTGTTACCAGGCTGCAGTGCAGTGGCTCAGTCTTGGCTCACTGCAAACTCTGCCTCCCAGGTTCAAGGGATTCTCCTGCCTCAGCCTTCCAAGTAGCTGAGATTACAGACACGTGCCACCACACCCAGCTGATTTTTGTGGTTTTTGGTTTTGCTTTGTTTTTTGAGATGGAGTTTTGCTCTTGTTGCCCAGGCTGGAGTACAGTGACACAATCTCAGCTCACTACAGCCTCTGCCTCCTGGGTTCAAGAGACTCTCCTGCCTCAGCCCCTGAGTAGCTGGGATTATAGGTGCCCACCACCACGCCCGGCTAATTTTTTGTATTTTTAGTAGAGAGGATGTTTCACCATGTTGGTCAAGCTGCTGTTGAACTCCTGACCTCAGGTGATCCACCTGCCTTGGCCTCCCAAAGTGCTGGGATTACAGGCATGAGCCACCGCACCGGGTCGCAACCTGTAACTCTTTTTTTTTTTTTTTTTTTTGAGACGGAGTTTAGCTCTTGTTACCCAGGCTGGAGTGCAATGGCGCGATCTCGGCTCACCGAAACCTCTGCCTCCTGGGTTCAAGCAATTCTCCTGTCTCAGCCTCCTGAGTAGCTGGGACTACAGGCACGCGCTACCGTGCCCAGCTAATTTTTTGTACTTTTAGTAGAGATGGGGTTTCACCATGTTGACCAGGATGGCCTCGATCTCTTGACTTCGTGATCCACCCACCTCCGCCTCCCAAAGTGCTGGGATTATAGGCGTGAGCCACCGCACCCGGCCCTTTCCTTTTCTTTTTGAGATAGAGTCTTGCCGGGCGCGGTGGCTCAAGCCTGTAATCCCAGCACTTTGGGAGGCGGAGGTGGGTGGATCACGAGGTCAAGAGATCGATACCATCCTGGTCAACATGGTGAAACCCCGTCTCTACTGAAAATACAAAACATTAGCTGGGCACGGTGGCGCGTGCCTGTAATCCCAGCTACTCAGGAGGTTGAGGCAGGAGAATTGCCTGAACCCAGGAGGCGGAGGTTGCAGTGAGCCGAGATCACGCCATTGCACTCCAGCCTGGGTAACAAGAGCGAAACTCCATCTCAAAAAAAAAAAAGAGAGCCAGAGTCTTGCGCTGTTGCTCAGGCTGGAATGCAGTGCATGACCTTGGCTCACTGCAACCTCTGCCTCCCAGATTCAAGCAATTCTTCTGTCTCAGCCTCCCAAGTAGCTGGGATTGCAGGTGTACACCACCACACCCGGCTAATTTCTGCATTTTTAGTAGAGTTGGAGTTTCACCATGTTGGCCAGGCTCGTCTTGATCTCCTGACCTCAAGTGATTAGCTTGCCTCAGCTGCCCAAAGTGCTAGGATTACAGGCGAGAACCACTGTGCCTGGCCTTTTATCATTATTTTAGAGAGTACTATTTTTTTTTAGACAGAATCTTGCTCTGCTGCCCAATCTGGAGTGCAGTGGCATGATCTCGGCTCACTGCAACATCTGCTTCCCAGGTTGAAGCAATTCCCTTCTTCTGCCTCCCAAGTAGCTGGGATTACAGGCACCTGCCACCATGGCTGGTTAATTTTTGTATTTTTAGTAGAGATGGGATTTTATTTTATTTTATTTTATTTTATTTTATTTTATTTTATTTTAAAGATGAGGTTTCATTCACCATGATGGCCAGGCTGGTCTTGAACTCCTGACTTCAGGTGATCCACCCACCTCGGCCTCCCAAAGTGCTAGGATTACAGGCGTGAGCCACCGGGCCCGGCCGAGATGGGATTTTATTATCTTGGTCAGGCTGGTCTTGAACTTCTGACCTCATGATCCACCTACCTCGGCTTCCCAAAGTGCTGGGATTATACATGTGAGCCACTGTACCTGGCCAAGTGTACTACTTAGTAACAAAAAAAGTTAACTGTAAAACATTCTCAGGCAGGTCCTTCAGGACATACTCCAAAAGAAGGCATTGTTATCATAGGAGATGACAGCTCCATGCATGTTATTGCCCCTGAAGACCTTCCAGCGGTACAAGATGTGGAAATTGAAAAATAGTCATAGATGATCCTGACCTTGTGTGGGCCTCGGTTAATGTGTGTGTTTGTGTCTTCATTTTAAAAAGAAATTGTAAAAAGTAAAAACAAAGTTAAACATTTTGTTTAAATAGAACAAACCTTCTAGAATAAGGATATAAGGAAAGAAAAATGTTTTTGTGCAGCTGTCCCATGTGTTTATATTTTAAGTGAAGTGTTATTACAAAAGTCAAAAATATTTTTAAAATTAAAAAGTTTATAAAGCAAAAAAAATTAGCCCTAAGATTTGGTTAATTTATTGAGAAAGAATAATAAATTTAATGTAGCCTAAGTATACATTTTGTTTTTTTTTGAGACGGAGTTTCACTCGTTACCCAGGCTGGAGTACAATGGTGCGATCTTGGCTCACCGCAACCTCCACCTCCTGGGTTCAGGCAATTCTCCTGCCTCAGCCTCCCGAGTAGCTTGGATTACAGGCACGTGCCACCATGCCCAGCTACTTTTTTGTATTTTTAAAAGAGACAGGGTTTCACCATGTTGACCAGGATGGTCTCAATCTCTTGACCTCGTGATCCACCCGCCTCAGCCTTCCAAAGTGCTGGGATTACAGGCGTAAACCACCCGGCAGTGTCAATGTCTTACTCATCTTGGCATCTCTAGCACATGGTACTTAAGAGGTGTCAATGAATGTAGAATGATCTCATTTCCCAGTTCTGTGAATCCCCTAGTGGACTGTTGGTTTGTCAGTTTCAGGAATTATTTTGCACGAGAACCCCAGTCGTTTTTCTAGCCCTTAATGGCAGGCAGGCCAGCTGCTTGTTTGTTTGCATCTCCCAGACAGTAGTCACTGTAAAGTCCGCACTGACCTCGTGGCTGCGGCCTGCCCCCTGCTGGTCAGAAGGTTTCTGGGACAGAGACAATTCAAGGCTGGAGAAACAGTGGTTCTAAATCATTTTTTGTGTCACAGACTCCACTGGCATTCCACAAAGAATATGAATCCCTTCTCAGAATAATATATACATTTTTTTGAGACAGAGTCTCGCTCTGTTGACCAGGCTGGAGTGCAGTGGTGTAATCTCGGCTCACTGCAACCTCCGCCTCCTGGGTTCAAGCAATTCTTGTGTCTCAGCCTCCTGAGTAGCTAGGATTACAGGCGTGCCACCATGCCTGGCTAATTTTTGTATTTTTAGTAGAGACAGGGTTTCACCATGTCAGCCAGGCTGGTCTCGAACTCCTGATCCCAAGTAATCTGCCGGCCTCAGCCTCCCAAAGTGCTGGGATTACAGGCATGAGCCACTGCCTGGTGGCTTCTCAGAATAATATTTTCAAGTATACAATATAAAGCATGTAGATTACAAATGAAACCAATCATATGGAATACAGGTAACAAAATACTGAAAAACCTGTAGATATTATGTATGTGATATATATGCCCATGTAATGTGATGTATGGATGTATATACACATATGCACATTAAATAACAAGATCTAGCAATAGGTTTAATAGCTACTGTAATTTCCAAGTGATAAAAATATTTTGAGATCCCTACAACAGCTGCAGTGTGATACAAAGTATCTGTGACTTCTATTGGTGATGGTCACAACTACCGTTAATACTGCTAGAGTTTGTTGGCTACATCCATAATGAAAGGAAATGCTTAATTTCAGTTAAAGGATAGTAAAACTGAAGACCAGCTGAGTGTGGTGGCTCATGCCTATAATTCAAGCACTTTGGAGGCCAAGGCGGGAGGATCACCTGAGGTCAGGAGTTCAAGACCAGCCTGACCAACGTTGTGAAACCCCATCTTTTTTTTTTTTTTTTTTTTTTCTTGTGAGACGGAGTTTCGCTCTTGTTACCCAGGCTGGAGTGCAATGGCACGATCTTGGCTTACCGCAACCTCCGCCCCCTGGGTTCAGGCAATTCTCCTGCCTCAGCCTCCTGAGTAGCTGGGATTACAGGCATGCGCCACCATGCCCAGCTAATTTTTTGTATTTTTAGTAGAGACGGGGTTTCACCATGTTGACCAGGATGGTCTTGATCTCTTGACCTTGTGATCCGCCCGCCTCGGCCTCCCAAAGTGCTGGGATTACAGGCTTGAGCCACCGCGCCCGGCCCGTGAAACCCCATCTTTAAAGAAAAAAAAAATTTTAAAAAAAATTAAAGAAAATAATAATAAACTAAAGACCAACTCTTTTGCCATCCAAGTTCCAAGACACCCTGAATTCTACATATGGATCCTTTGTGGGGAGAGTCTGTGGACCCAAAGTTAAGGAAGCCTGAATGTTGTTTCAGAGGCATAACAGACAGATTCTTTTAAATACGGCAGAGATGGCTAGTGTCTAGGTGTCTGTGTGACCCTTGATTAGTTCAAGTGGCAGTTGGGTGAGACACAGGAGGTATACCAGAAACACCTCTTGCAGAAGGTCTAAGTTTGACTCCCACAGTCACTTACCAGTGATTTGAGATTTGGCTTGACCCTTCCCCTGGCCTAGTGCCCATTTCCTCATCTATAAAATGAGAATGAGCCTGGTGTGGTGGCTCACACCTGTAATTCCAACTGTTTGGGAGGCTGAGGCAGGAGGACTGCTTGAGGCCGGGAGTTTGAGGCCAACCTGGGCAATATAGTGATCCCTCCTGCCCTGTCACCCGTCTCCACAAAAAAAGTTAGCCAGGCACCGTGGCTCATGCCTGTAATCCTACCTACTCAGGAAGCTAAGGTGAGAGGATCGTCTGAGACCAAGGGTTTGAAGTTACCGTGAACCATGGTCATACCACTGCATTCCACCCTAGGCCACAGGGAGACCCTGTCTCTACAAAAAACAAAACAAAACAATAAATAAATACATAAAATAGGAAGGATGATGTCTTCCCCATTGTCAAAAGGATTCAGTACATTAACAGGTGAAAACTTCTGGGGGACAGTGAATGCTTGTTGTTAAATGGGAATGATGGTAAATGCCTGTAGAGAGCATGGCCCTCAACACATTCTCTCAGCCAAGCATAATGTCTTTCCAAACAGAAACCCGACGTCTGAGCTGCTGTATGACCTGGGAGGCACCTGTGTACTTGGAAGATAAGCCCTTTCTTGCCGGGTGAATATGGGTAAGTGTGCCCTGCTTTTCACCCCCATCCAAAAGAACAACCGAATGGCAGATATCCTTGTCATTTCATTAGAAGCATGTTTACATTCTTGTATTCTTGTAGTTAACTTTGTAGAAAACCTTTTACAAAAATTTTGTATAAAGGCTGGAAACTACATAAAAATAACTTCTATGCCAGGCGCGGTGGCTCAAGCCTGTAATCCCAGCACTTTGGGAGGCCGAGGCAGGTGGATCACGAGGTCGAGAGATCGAGACCATCCTGGTCAGCATGGTGAAACCCCGTCTCTACTAAAAATACAAAAAACTAGCTGGGCATGGTGGCGCATGCCTGTAATCCCAGCTACTCGGGAGGCTGAGGCAGGAAAATTGCCTGAGCCCAGGAGGCGGAGGTTGCGGTGAGCCGAGATCGTGCCATTGCATTCCAGCCTGGGTAACGAGCGAAACTCCGTCTCAAAAAAGAAAAAAATACAATAAAAAATAAAATAAAATAAAATAAAATAACTTCGGCCGGGCGTGGTGGCTCAAGCCTGTAATCCCAGCACTTTGGGAGGCCGAGGTGGGTGGATCACGAGGTCAGGAGATCGAGACCATCCTGGTCAACATGGTGAAACCCTGTCTCTACTAAAATTGCAAAAAAAAATTAGCTGGGCATGGTGGCGCGTGCCTGTAATCCCAGCTACTCAGGAGGCTGAGGCAGGAGAATTGCCTGAACCCAGGAGGTGGAGGTTGTGGTGAGCCGAGATGGCGCCATTGCACTCCAGCCTGGATAACAAGAGCGAAACTCCATCTCAAAATAAAATAAAATAAAATAAAATAAAAATAAAATAAAATAACTTCTATGTTTCATAAAGAGAAAACATAAGTAAGTTACATTGACTTTGCTAAATCCAGACAAAGGAAAAAAAGAAAAATCAGCTCTGTCTGTCCCTTATACAAAAAACACTAGCACAGAGCACGAGGCATAACTGCCTGGGCCTCTCAGATGGGCACTGCATGGTGGCTCCCTTGTAAGGCTAGGAGACCCTGCCAGTCCCCATCCAAAAAAGCACAGGGAAGCTCTGAGGGGTCAGGCGGCACTAAACAGGGAGGCAGCAACTCCTTTAAGGGCAAAGAGGATGTGAAGGAGGCCAGGCGCGGTGGCTCACGCCTGTAATCCCAGCACTTTGGGAGGCTGAGGTGGGCGGTTCATGAGGTCAAGAGATCGAGACCATCCTGGTCAACATGGTGAAACCCTGTCTTTACCAAAAATACAAAAACTAGCTGCGCATGGTGGCACATGCCTGTAGTCCCAGCTACTCAGGAGGCTGAGGCAGCAGAATTGCTTGAGCCTGGGAGGCGGAGGTTGCAGTCAGCCCTGATCACGCCATTGTACTCCAGCCTGGGCAACAAGAGCGACACTCAGTCTCAAAAAGAAAAAAAAAATGATGTGAAGGACGAGCCACAAGGGGAATAATGAGACTTTCACCTCAACCATGAAGTTGGCATTTCACCTAATACTTTTTCACACGCGAGACTACAAACAAAAATACTATAAGCAGAGCCCAAAGCAGCCCTGTCTGACGGTTCCCAATGCTGACCTGGCCTGGTCGAACTGGGTCTGTGTTCTGCAGTTACACTGCAGCTAGTTCATGTTTCCCCAGCACCTGTGCACCAAAGAAAATAAAAGGAGACGATTGTTTCACTTGTCTCATTTGTGAGAGACCTGAAAAACGTCCCATCTGGGTCAAATTCTGTGCAGGGAAGCTAAATGCTCACTAACCTGAGAACCACTGCCTTACCTAGCTCCAAGAGGATCTTTCCTAAGATTTGGGCAGTCCCCTTTTCTTGTTGAAGCGCTGCCCCTCCCTTCCCAAGCATCCAGTTATAACCAATGTTGAGAGAATTTCCAGGAAATTGCTTTAGAAAGACAGAGTACCGGGCGCAGTGGCGTGTACCTGTAGTCCCAGCTACTCGGGAGGCTGAGGTGGGAGGATCATTTGAGCCCAGGAGTTCTGGGCTGTAGTGCGCTATGCTGATCCGGTATCCACACTAAGTTCGACATCAGTATGGTGACCTCCCAGGAATGGGGGACCACCAGGTTGTCTAAGGAGGGATGAACCAGCCCAGGTCAGAAATGGAGCAGGGCAAAACTCCCGCGCTGATCAGTAGTGGGATCGTGCCTGTGACTAGCCACTGCACCCCAGGCTGGGCAACACAGTGAGACCCCGACTCAATTAAAAAAAATAAAAAAGAAAGAAAGACAGAGTATATAGAACCTTAACCTAGCTGGGAACAGTGGCATGTTTCTGTCATTCCAGCTAATCTTGAGGGTTAAGTGGGGGGAAATCACTTGAACCAGGAGTTTGAGACCAGCTTGGGCAACGTATGAGAGACTCTATCTGGCTCCTGATCTCAGGTGAGCTACCATGACCAGCCTAAAAAAAAAAAAAAAAAAGAATCATAAACCTATAGGAGTGAAGGCACAAAAAGTCCTCTCACTCAAATCCTTACCAATTTTTTTGTTTTTATTTGTGTTTTTTAAAAGCAGTTATCCTCCTGGAGAAGCCATACATTTTACAGCTATTTCAATGAAACAATCAGAAATCAGGGTGAGAAAGATTTTCTTTGTAAATAAACCTGCATACTGGTTTGAACATTTGCTTTTATTGAGTTATATACACTGCAGCCATGGGATCAGAATCCGGGGGAAGCCAACTGAGAAGCGAAGGCCCAGGGGTCCATCTGAGGTACAGAACCCGTGCTTCTGCCAGGTTCCTGATGCTTTTTATTCCTGAAGATAAGTCCAAGAGCCTGCCAGCCCAGGTCTGAAATGCAAGGTGGGAGTCCTGAACATGGTGGGGCAGGGATGGGGCGGAGGAAACAGCCCTCCTGTTTCACCTGCAGACAGGGTGGGCAGAGTGCTCTGGAGCAGACAGGATTGTGGAAGGCTTGTGTGCTGAGGAATTAGTCCCTGAACACAGGAGCCTGCGTGGGGCCAGCATGAGTCGCAGCCTGGCAGTACAGCCTGTGCTTCTCTGTGCCTCTGGTGCCAACACCCCGCACACGCCACACCAACTGCTCCACCTAACACGCTCAGTGGCACAGGCTCAGGCAGCAAATGTGTTCCAACCCACCTGGGCAGAAGAGGCCAGGCCAGCAGACCAAGTCCCGTGTGTGTGCGTGCATTCACACGCGTGTGCAAGAAGAGGGATGCGAGATGGCATGAAACACCCAAGAAGCAGAATCAATGTTTCAGCCTCCCTCTTTCCCCAGTCCCCACCTCCCACATAGACACGGTCTTATCTTAAGTGGAAAGCAAACTGGGAGAACGGGATGAATGAGGCCATCTCCTGAGCAGCCAGCTGCAGGCCGGGCTCCACTGGGAGCAGAAATGGCTCAACGGTTCCATGACTCTTCTGGGAATGACTGAAAAACCAGCAAGAATTACAGCCAGATGAGCCCACGGGGTTTTCATCAGCAGTGCTTTGGGCCCAGGGAGAGCAAAACTGGTATTTTGGCAAACAGAAGACTTGAAGCGACAGAACACGCATTCCTGCTGGACCGTGACCCCACCGACAGCCCCACCCCTTCCAGCCTGAAGGGATCTGGGGCTCGAGGAGAACATACATTAGGGTCAGGCGACACGTAGTAACACCTCGCCCTCCACAGGCCAGCAAGAAGTCAGGAACACCGGGGCAGGTCTGCCGGGCACAGCTGGGGTGGCACAGGGCGAGGGGCTGGACTTGAGCTGGCACAGATGCAAGAGGGAAAAGAGATCCTGAGTTACGTGTTCACAGAGAATGAAGGAGAAGGCCCTGGGGCCCCCCAAGCTGCCAGCCACAGCCCTGGGCGGTTGTTAAGAAGCATCTGCAGAACTGTAGGGGAAGAACTTGCTGGCCTTGCTTGGGGTGCTGGGGTTTGGGCACTCTGCCTCCTCGCTTAGCTTGAAGAACATCTCCTGCTCCTGCTTCTTCTGGTTCAGATCCTCTTCCAGAGCCTAGGGAAGAGAGAGGAGGGCGGTGCTGGGTCAGATCTGCAGGCCACACGTGGGTCTCCCACTCACAGGACCCCCCACTGACAAGGTCTTCTCTGGAACGTTCCCTCCCAGGCCTCAGTGCTTGGGAAACTGGGTCTTCCCTCTTTCCTACCCTAGAGCCCCTCTCCCAGGAGGTAAGCGCACCTCCCGCCACTGCTACTCAGAAGCTCCCTCTGGACCAAAGGGTACAGTTGGCGGAAATGCCAATCTAGACAGGGCAGGGAAGAAAAAAGCAGACGCAAATCCCCAGGCAGGAAAACAGCCAAATGACTGGAGAAAAACCCAAGGGAGAGGACGGAGAGAGACGGAGAGAGATTCAGCAGCAAGGAAGCAGAGATGTCAGAGGTTTTTTTTTTTTTTTTTTTCGAAATACACGTGCCTTTGCCCAACCCCAGAGGTTCTGATTTTGAAGACTGCAGTGGGACCAAGGGCTTCTGTACTGTACAAACTCTTCAGGTAACTCGGAGGAGAGCTCTAGCTGAAAAGCACTGCGGGAGGTTCCCTTGGGCATATGCAAGCTTATCTAGACAAACTGGATCCTACTAGAAAGATTTTTCTTTTCTTTTCAAGACAGAGTCTAGATCTGTGGCCCAGGCTGGAGTGCAGTGGCAGTATCTCAGCTCACTGCAACTTCACCCTCCCAGGTTGAAGCGATTCTCCTGCCTCAGCCTCTCCAGTAGCTGGGATTACAGGCACCTGCCACCACGCCTGGCTAATTTTTCCATTTTAAGTAGAGATGGGGTTTCACCATGTTGGTCAGGCTGGTCTCAAACTCCTGACCTAGGTGATCCACCCACCTCAGCCTCCCAGAGTGCTGGGATTACAGGCGTGAGCCACTGCAGTTGGCCCTGAAAGAGTTTTTAAGGGCTCTCCAATAATAAGCATTCAATTAAGAACAGAAGCCAAGTGCAGTGCAAAGAACCCGGATTTGATGGTGAAACAATGTTGCCAGAGCGGAAGGATTTTTTTTTTTTTTTTTTTTGAAATGGAGTCTCGCTCTGTCTCCCAGGCTGGAGTGTAGTGGTGCAATTTCAGCTCACTGCAACCTCCACCTCCCTGGTCTAAGCAATTCCCCTGCCTTAGCCTCCCGAGTAGCTGGGATTACAGATGCATACTACCACACCCAGCTAATTATTTTGTATTTTTAATAGAGACAAGGTTTTATCATTTGGCAGACTGGTCTTGAACTCATGACCTCAAGCAATCCACTCACCTCGGCCTCCCAAAGTGCTGGGATAATAGGTGTGAGCCACCACACCCACCCCGGGATTTTCCAAAGAAACTGGAAATCAAGGTTTTAATATAAAATCTCCTTATATACTTAAATGTGGACATCTTTAAAAAAAATTTGCAAGCCAGGCGTGGTGGCTTATGCCAGTAATCCCAACACTTTGGGAGAACGAAGCAGGTGGAACACCTGAGGTTAGGAGTTCAAGACCAGCCAGGCCAACATGGTGAAACCCCATCTTTACTAAAAATACAAAAATTAGCCAGGCCTGGTGGTGTGTGCCTGTAATTTCAGCTACTCAAGAGGCTGATGCAGGAAAATCACTCGAGGGGAGGCAGAGGTTGGAGTGAGCTGAGATCGTGCCACTGCACTCCAGCCTGGGTGACAGAGCAAGACTCTGTCTCAAAAAAAAAAAAAAAAAAAAAAAAAAGGTACATCACTATGTTGGCCAAACATACCATGTCTGTAAGCCAATTCCAGCACATAGGCCATCAGTTTGGGACCTCAGCTCTAGGAATACCAACAATATAATAACAGGCTCTGCTTTTTTAGCAGAGTGGTTTGTTTAGTAACTTGCCCAAGGTCTCACAACTAGTTAGGACTTTATCCCATCTGTGTGACTCCGAAGCCTGGGCTGTTTAAGCACTATTCTGTCTACCCACCACATATATTTCTCAATACAACCTTCTAAGGCCAGAGTCCATGATCTTTTTTCTGTTATGTGACAGAAAGTAAACATTTTTGCCTTTGCAGGACATATTTGGTCTCTGTCGTGAATACTTAACTGCCACCATAGCACAAAATCAGCCACAGACAATCTGTAAATGAAGGAGCATGGCTGTGTTCCAATAAAACTTTATTTACAAATAAAGTTGGTGGGCCAGATTAGGCCATTGGCAGTAGATTGCTAACACCTATTTTAAGGAAATAAGTATTGTCTACATTTTACAGCCCAAAAAGCCAGGATTCAGGAGGGAAGATGTGACTTGCTTGAGGCCACATTCTGTATTAACACTGACCCAAGCAACACTTTATTGACTCTGCCAGATATTTTGTATTTACTTGAGATACATCTGAATTTTTCTTTTTTTTTTTTTTTTTTTTGAGACGGAGTTTCGCTCTGGCTGGAGTGCAATGGCGCGATCTTGGCTCACCGCAACCTCCGCCTCCCGGGTTCAGGCAATTCTCCTGCCTCAGCCTCCTGAGTAGCTGGGATTACAGGCACGCGCCACCATGGCCAGATAATTTTTAGTATTTTTAGTAGAGACGGGGTTTCACCTTGTTGACCAGGATGGTCTCGATCTCTTGACCTAGTGATCCACCCGCCTCGGCCTCCCAAAGTGCTGGGATTACAGGCTTGAGCCACCGCGCCCGGCCACATCTGAATTTTTCTAAAAATACTCCACAATGTACAGTCATCTCCCCTGCCTCCATGCAAGGCAGGGGGTTCACAGGCTACTGACCATAATGCAAGAATGTAAAAGACCATTTATTCTCAAACGAAAATCATCACCTCTGGGTCATTGTTCCAGCAGAAACCCAAGCAGCTAATGACAGAAGAATTCTATAAAGAATTCTGCGAAGAGGCAGCCCCCACGGGCAAAGTTCAACGCCAGCTTCCCAACTGCACACCTGTGGTACCTCCCCTGAGCCCAGGTCCCTCTTTGAAGCAATGAGACATAAGGCAACAGCTAGAGGCAACGTGATCATTCGTTTTCAGACTCTCTCAGGACGTGCCACAGGTATAGATCCCCCAGGTAAGAGAACCAGGTGAACGTTTCTTTCCGGATTGCAGAACCAACCACGTCAGCAGGAATATTATTGATTTGAGTATCAAGTATTGAAAGTCCCAGCAGGCCATGGTTACAGAAACTGATGAGCGTGGGCCTGGTAACAGGAAGTCTGGGACCCTGGCCAGCTTCCAGCCAGAAAGCTCCATTAGCGCGGGGAGGGAGGCCTCAGTTCAAGGACTTCCAAGGCCATTATGCAGCTGAGATGGGCAGCTGCCTCCTGTTCAGACCACAGTTCCAGTAAGCAGAACTGATGTAAGATGGCAGAGCAAACCTCACAAACCTCGGGACTTCAGGACCCAGGGGCACGAGATGAAGGGTAATTTGGGCAGCTCTCTCCTCAGAGAGTTTAGGGGAATGGAAGGAAATGAGTATGTCCTCGGCCTGTACTATGTGCTGGCAACTTTTGGCATAACATTGCAGTCTTGATAGCTTCACCGTACAAACAACCACATTGAGGCCCCATGTGTGCTTGTTTGTTTTTTTCTGAGGCAGAGTCTTGCTTTGTCATCTAGGCTAGAGTACAGAGATGCGATCTTGGCTCACTGCAGCCTCCGCCTCAGGCTCCCATGTAGCTGGGATTACAGGTATGTACCACTGTGCTGGGTTAAATTTATGTATCAACTTGGCAAGGCCATGGTATCCATCTGTTTGGTCAAACACCAGACTAGATGTCGCTATAAAGGTATTTTCTAGATGTGATTAGCATTTGAATAGGTAAACTCTGAGTATTACCCTTCATCATGAGGGTGGGCCTCTTCAATCAGTTGAAGGCCTTGAGAGAAAAGAAGAAAGAAGGAATTCTGCCTCTAGACAGCAACAAGCACTGGGTCTCCAGCCTGCCGACCTGCCCTGCAGATTTCAGACTCAGCCCCTACAATTGTATGAGCCAATTCCTTAAAATAAATAAAGACGAATACAGGCCCAGAGTGGGGAAGATAGATGGCTTGCCCAAGATCCCAAAGCTGGTGACCAGCAAGAACATCCAGAGGGCCGGGCGCGGTGGCTTAAGCCTGTAATCCCAGCACTCTGGGAGGCCGAGGCAGGTGGATCACGAGGTCAAGAGATAGAGACCATCCTGGTCAACATGGTGAAACCCTGTCTCTACTAAAAAAAAAAATACAAAAAATTAGCTGGGCATGGTGGCGCGTGCCTGTAATCCCAGCTACTCAGGAGTCTGAGGCAGGAGAATTGCCTGAACCCAGGAGGCAGAGGTAGCAGTGAGCCGAGATTGCACCATTGCACTCCAGCCTGGGTAACAAGAGCGAAACTCTGTCTCAAAAAATAAAAATAAAAAAAAACATCCAGAGTGCCAGCTAAAGAGGAAATGGGCAAATTCCCTCCACCTCTGATACCACCCTAGTCCAAGCTGCCATCATTTCTCCCCAGGGTTATCACCACAGTTTCCGTACAGGTCTCTCTGCTTTCACTCTTGACCCCTAAGGGCAGCCAGCAGGATCCTTTTCAAAACATGAGTCAGTGTTGGGCCCAGTGGCTCACGCCTGTAATCCCAGCACTTTGGGAGGCTGAGGCGGGCAGATCACGAGGTCAGGAGTTTGAGACCAGCCTGACCAATATGGTGAAACCCCATCTCTACTAAAAATACAAAAATTAGCCGGGTGTGGTGGCGAATGCCTGTAGTCCCAGGTACTTGGGAGGCTGAGGCAGCAGCATTGCTTGAACCTGGGAGGCGGCGGTTGCAGTGAACCAAGATTGCACCACTGCACTCCAGCCTGGGTGATGGAACGAGACTCAGTCTCAAACAAAAACAAAAACAAAAACCATGAGTCAGACTACCCTGTACTGCTCAGAACCCTCTAGTAGCTCCACTACCCCTGACTTTACCTCCTGTTACCTCCCACTATCACTGCCGCTCTCTCTGGCTGCGGGGGCCTCCTTGTTTCGTAAGCAAGGCATCCAGGCCTTTGCAGCTGCTCTTCCCTGTGCTGGGAATGTCCCCCTGAGACGCCCCACAGCTGCACAGCCCCCTCCTCAGGTCCTTCAGATCTTTGCTCAGATGTCATCTTCTTGGACATCTTCCTCCCACACTGTCTGAAGCAGCCCTGCTTTGTGACCCTGCATGCCGTTTCCCTCCCTGCTTCTTGGCCTCTCACTAGAAGGTCAGTCCTTCCTGAGAGCACAGACTTGTCCCTTTTGTTCAGTGTAGTGTCTCTAGTGCCTGAAACAGTGTAGGGCACTTAGTAGGTGCTCAAGAAATATGTGTTGCATTAATACACAAATGAATGAATGATCAAGCTAACGACACACGAATGCAATCCCACGTGATAAGCACCATGACAGGGGCAGGGGCAGGGAGTTGCTGGAGCCCAGAAGAGACACCATACAGCCTCCGTGGGGGAGGCCTGAATAATGAAGACAAACAGAAGTTGGCCAAGCAAGGCTGCTGGGTAGAGAATTCCTGGCAAGGGGAAGAGGTTGGGCAAAAGCCCAGCACGGAACGAGGGAAGTGCATATGGTACGGAGATCTATTTGGGTACTGAAATCTGTTCAGAGCACAAGTTGGGGAGGAGACTCACAGGAGATGAGGCCAGAAGAGTGGTTCTCAAAGTGTGGTCCATGAACCCCTAGGGGGCCCAAAACCCTTTCTTGGGGTGGGGGAGGGGCAGCAAGTTCTAGGTTTCCTAATAATATACGCAGTTTGTCTTTTCACTGTTTTGATATCCATGCTGATGGTACAAAAGCAATGCTGGGTAAAACTTCTGGAGCTTCTGGAGGATTAAGACAATGGCACCAAACTGAACGGGCATTCTTCACCACTGTGCACTCTCAGTATTTATTTATTTTTATCTTTATTTATTTATTTATTTTTGAGACGGAGTTTCGCTCTTGTTACCCAGGCTGGAGTGCAATGGCGCGATCTCGGCTCACCGCAACCTCCGCCTCCTGGGTTCAGGCAATTCTCCTGCCTCAGCCTCCTGAGTAGCCGGGATTACAGGCACGCGCCACCATGCCCAGCTAATTTTTTGTGTTTTTAGTAGAGACGGGGTTTCACCATGTTGACCAGGATGGTCTCGATCGCTTGACGTTGTGATCCACCCACCACCCACCTCGGCCTCCAAAGTGCTGGGATTACAGGTTTGAGCCACCGCGCCCGGCCTTATCTTTATATGTTTATTTTTTTGAGATGGAGTTTCACTCTTTCACCCAGGCTGGAGTGAAGTGGCATGATCTGGCTCACCGTAACCTCTGTCCCCCACCGCCCCAGGTTCAAGCAATTCTCCTGCCTCAGCCTCCTGAATAGCTGGGATTACAGGCACCTGCCACCATGCCTGGCTAATTTTTGAATTTTTAGTAGAGACCGTTTTGCCATATTGACCAGGCTGGTCTGGTCTCCAACTCCTGACCTCAGGTGATCCACCCACCTCAGCCTCCCAAAGTGCTGGGATTACAGGCGTGAGCTGCCAAGCCAGGCCCACTCACAATATTTTAGAAAGTTTACAATTAAAACAATGAAGCCAATGGCACTTAAGATCACCTTGATGGTGCAGCACAAATGGTTCATTTTATTTTTATTTTTTATTTATTTATTTATTTTTTTTTTTTTGAGACGGCGTTTCGCTCTTGTTACCCAGGCTGGAGTGCAATGGTGCGATCTCGGCTCACCACAACCTCCGCCTCCTGGGTTCAGGCAATTCTCTTGCCTCAGCTGCCTCCCTAGTAGCTGGGACTACAGGCGTGCGCCACCATGCCCAGCTAATTTTTTTTGTATTTTTAGTAGAGACGGGGTTTCACCATGTTGACCAGGATGGTCTCGATCTCTTGACCTCGTGATCCACCCGCCTCGGCCTCCCAAAGTGCTGGGATTACAGGCGTGAGCCACCGCGCCCCGGCCTTTTTTTTTTTTTTTTTTTTATAGAGACAGGGTTTCACCATGTTGGCCAGGCTGGTCTTGAACTCCTGACCTCAGGTGATCCACCCGCCTCGGCCTCCCAAAGTGCTGGGATTACAGGCATGAGCACTGCGCCTATCCTAGAATATCATTTTTATTTAAAAAAAAAAAAAATTAACTGACAACCTGGGGCATGCATCTACATTTCCAGCTACTTGGGAGGCTGAGACAGGAGAACTGCTTGAGCCCAGGGCAACATAGCAAGATCCCATTAAAAAAAAAAAAACCAACAAATGTGAGTATTTAGCAAACACTTTCTTGAAAATGAACAAATTGTGCTGATCACTTCAAGGAAAACAACTAAGGATATTTATTGCCAATGACAAAATTTGAACATTCAAGCAAAAATTAGAACTTTAGAAAACCTGTGTCCACCAGCCTGAACTTGACAGCGTCTCAATTTTCTTTTTTCTTTTTGACAGGATCTCAACCCAGGCTAGAGTACAATCGTGCAATCATGGCTCACTGTAGCCTTGACTTCCTGGCCTCGTGTGATCCTCCCATCTCAGACTCCAGAGTATCTGCGACCACAGGTATGTGCCACTATGCCTGGCTAATTTTTGTATTTTGTATTTTTTTTGTAGAGATGAGATTTCACCATGTTGCCCAGGCTGGTCTTGAACTCCTGAGCTCACTCCTGTAATCTCAGAACTTTGGGAGTGGTAGCCAGCTCTTGTAATCCCAGCTACTCATAAGACTGAGGCAGGAGAATCCCTTGAACCTGGGAGGTGGAGATTGCAGTGAGCCAAGATGGCGCCACTCCATCTCAAAAAAAAAAAATCTGATGCTCTGTCTTGCACTTTGGATGTCACTTTGCCCCAGCCATGATCTTGTAACATCATGCACTGGTCACTTGGAAAATATTGGTTTACTGAGTTACGCAGATCTTCCAAAAGTTGACACATTTCATTATACAATATTTTTAAAAAATTGTATCTGCTGGGTGTAGTGGCTCACGCTTATAATCCCAGCACTTTGGGGGCCGAGGCAGGTGGATCACCTGGGGTCAGGAGTTTGAGACCAGCCTGACCCATATGGTGAAACCCCGTCTCTATTAAAATTACAAAAATTATTGAGGCATGGTGGCAGGTGCCTGTAGTCCCAGTTACTCGGGAGACTGAGGTGGGAGAATTGCTTGAACCCAGGAAGCGGAGGTTGCAGTGAGCTGAGATTAAGCCACTGCACTCTAGCCTAGGTAACAGAGCGAGACTCTGTCTCAAAAAAAAAAAAAAAAAATTACACCCACCAGGCACAGTGGTGCACACCTGTAGTCCCAGCTACTTAGGAAGCTGAGGCAGGGAGGCAGAGGTTGCAGAGAGCTGAGATCATGCGCCTATAATCCCAGCACTTTGAGAGGCCAAGGCAGGTGGATCACTTGATGTCAGGAGTTCAAGACCAGCCTGGCCAACGTGGTGAAACCCCATTTCTACTAGAAATAGAAAAACTAGCCGGGCGCGGTGGCTCAAGCCTGTAATCCCAGCACTTTGGGAGGCCGAGGCGGGTGGATCACGAGGTCAAGAGATCGAGACCATTCTGGTCAACATGGTGAAACCCCGTCTCTACTAAGAAAAATACAAAAAAATTAGTTGGGCATGGTGGCGCGTGCCTGTAATCCCAGCTACTCAGGAGGCTGAGGCAGGAGAATTGCCTGAACCCAGGAGGTGGAGGTTGTGGTGAGCCGAGATTGCGCCATTGCACTCCAGCGTGGGTAACAAGAGCAAAACTCCGTCTCACAAAAAAAAAAAAAAAAAAAAAAAGAAATAGAAAAACTAGCCGGGCATAGTGGCATGTGACTGTAATCCCAGCTGCTCAGGAGGCTGAGGCAGAAAAATCATTTGAACCCAGGAGGTGGAGGTTGCAGTGAGCTGAGATCGCGCCACTGCACTCCACCCTCAGGCGACAGAGTGAAATTCTGTCTCTAAATAAAAAATAAAATAAATACCGAGAATGTGCCATTGCACTCCAGCCTGGGCAGCAAGAGCGAAACTCCGTCTCAAAAAAAAATAAATAAATAAAATAAAATAAATAAATAAATCAACAGATGAGTCAGGAGGGACGTTGCAGAGGGGCCAGTGACAGAGAAGAAACCCAGCAGAAGGTGGGCCTAGGAGGACAAGACAGGCAAGGAAGAGAGTGACTGACAGCATTGACTGCCACTAGGAGGTCAAGTCCAGCAAGTTGTAACCATGGGATTTGGCCACCAGGATGCTGTATTGACCTTGCCAGGAGCAGCTGCAGTGGGCTGTGTAAGAAATTTCTCAGTGGGCTGAGGAAGAAATTGCGACAGGGTAATGGGCTGCTCAAAACGCTTTGCAAAGATGGATAGAGAGTGACGGGGCAGTAAAGAAAGGTGCGGGACTGAGTGAGGGCGTGGGTTTTGAAGGTGAAAGTATGGCAGGCACAATTCAAAAATGACCCCTGCGACTCACTCTCATATAACTCCCCACTCATCTGAGTGTAGGTGGAACCTCTGAATGTAATATCATTCCTGCAAGCAGGGAAACTATCCCATGAGCCTGATTTAATCACATGAGCCTTTTAAAAGAGTTTTCTCCGGCTGGTGGCAGAAGGGGACACCAGAGACATTCAAAGCCCGAGAAGGTCTGAATGCACATTTGCTATCTGCAGGTGGAGGAGGCCACATGATAAGGAATGCCAGTGGCCTCTAGAAACGAAAGTAACCCCTGTCTGAGGCCAGCAAGGAAACAGGGACCTCAGACCTACAGCCACAAGGAACTGGATTCTGTGGAAAGCTGAATGGGTTTGGAAGTGATTCTTCCCCAGAAACTTCAGCTAAGAGCCCAGCCATGCTGACAACTTTGACTGCAGTCTGGTGAGTCCCTGAGCAGGCAAGCCCACCCAGACTCTTGACCTCCATCACTAGGAGAGAGTAAACAGATGTTGGTTGAAGCTGCTAAGTGTGTGGCAGTTCATGACACAGCAACCGAAAACGAAACTGGCAAGCAGTCTACCTGGTGCTGGGTTCTGACTTCTCAGAATAACCTCCTCTAAGAGAAAATCCCCATCGGCTGGGCTTTGGCCTGGCAGCATGGCTGGTTCGACTCACTGCAGCATCCTCTGCGGACACTACCTGGCAGGAGTCCTTTGGTCCGTGAGAGGGAGCCAAGCAAGAGGATGCCCCTCCACGGGTGGAAGCTGCGGGGGCGTTCATCCACAAAGGGTTAGAAAGCTCCCCTCTCTCTCAGCCTGGAGATCCATTTTATGGTGCCACAAAGCAAGAGCCCACCAAAATAAGGAGACCTATCATGTTCTGGCCAGAGGCCTGTGCACGCACGGAGCAGAGTCCGAGACTGAGCCCACCCGCCAGACACGGTTACCTTCTTGCGCGGCCGAAGCTTGTCCCGCCATTCCTTCAGGTTCTGGTTATGGCTCTCATCCAGGGCCTTCAGCTTCTGGGTTTCATGCTCTACCAAGAGGTGGCATTTTTCATTCTGGAACAAATTCCAGGCAGAACAGGTGAGAAATTAGAAAAAGACACAGGCCCTGAAGACTGAGACACACCTCACGCTGAGGCCACAGGGCCCCAGCATCGTTCATTTATGACTTCTTCTTGACGATAAACCCCACTTATTCAAACTCTATATGTACGTTACATGCACCCAGAAGTGCCTGGAGGAATAGTCTAGAAGACGTTAATAGTTCTTATTAACTCTATGGTGGGGATGTGGATATGTGGTAGGTTTGCAACTTTTTTTTTTTTTTTTTTTTTTTTTTTTTGAGACTGGATCTCACTCTGTAGCCCAGGCCGGAGTGCAGTGGCATGATCTTGGCTCACTGGAACCTCCACCTCCTGGGCTCAAGCGATTCTCCTGCCTCAGCCTACCGAGTAGCTGGGAATACAGGTGCCCGCCACCACACCTGGCTAATTTTTGTATTTTTAGTAGAGATGGGGTTTTACCATCTCTTGGTCGAGCTGCTTTCTAACTCCTGACCTCAAGTGATCCACCTTCCTAGGCCTCCCAAAGTGCTGGGATTACAGGTGTGAGCCACTGAGCCTGACCATTTTGCAAATTTTTTCTTTGTGCTTTGTACATGGTTTGAATGTTTCAAAAAGAACATATATCATTTTAAAAAAACAATAAAACTACTGACAATGCATGCCCTAATCACACCACACAGGGGCACCACTATGAACGTTTTGATTTCTCTCCTGTATCTCTCTGTCCCATGTTGTTCAGCTCACCCTGTGCATGCAATTCTGAAACCAACCCCTGCCATGTGCTTAACATTATAATGTAAACATTTCTATAAGGAAGTCATGTTTTTCATAATTATTTTAATGCCTATAGAACAGGCGTCCCCAAACTTTTTACACAGGGGGCCAGTTCACTGTCCCTCAGACCATTGGAGGGCCGCCACATACTGTGCTCCTCTCACTGACCACCAATGAAAGAGGTACCCCTTCCTGAAGTGAGGCGGGGGGCCGGATAAATGGCCTCAGGGGGCCGCATGCGGCCCGCGGGCTGCAGTTTGGGGACGCCTGCTATAGAATATCCCACAGTGTGCATTTATCAAATTTACTTAAACATTTCTCTATTTTTTTTTTTTGAGACGGAGTTTCGCTCTTGTTACCCAGGCTGGAGTGCAATGGCGCGATCTCGGCTCACCGCAACCTCCGCCTCCTGGGTTCAGGCAATTCTCCTGCCTCAGCCTCCTGAGTAGCTGGGATTACAGGCACGTGCCACCATGCCCAGCTAATTTTTTGTATTTTTAGTAGAGACGGGGTTTCACCATGTTGACCAGGATGGTCTCGATCTTTTGACCTCGTGATCCACCCGCCTTGGCCTCCCAAAGTGCTGGGATTACAGGCTTGAGCCACCATGCCCGGCCCTTTTTTTCTTTCTTTTTTTTTTTTTTTTGAGATGGGGTTTCACCATGTTGGTCAGACTGGTCTCAAACTCCTGACCTCAGGTAAGCCACCTGCCTCAGCCTCCCAAAGTGCTGGGATCACAGGTGTGAGCCACCACGCCCGGCCTGGAAAGTGCCTTTATCCAGATACCACCACTCTATTGGGGTTGGAAAATTGGAGATTTTCATTTTGAGTTGCATGCTAGAGGCTTGCGGAAATTCAGAGCTCGGCTGGGTGAGAAGTAATCATCACAGCAGCGCTGAGTTCCTGTGGCCTGCCCAGAGCTGTGCTCGGCACTTCATATGGGCTCTCAGTGCTCACAGAAACCCGAGGCAGGGATAGGAAAGCAGATGTGCAAGGTGAGTGGCTTGGCCAAAAGTCACACAGTGGTAATCAGCAGAACCCTGCCGGGCAGCCCTCAACACCTGGAGTGTTTCCTCCACGCCTCCCTGCCTCTCCAGAAACTGTTCAATGTGTCCAACAGTCCGAGCAATTTCCTGAAGTTCGAGTCAGGCCCCATCCCCACAGGGGGGCTTCAAGTACCAGCTCCTGGGGCTAGGAAACTTGAAGAGGTCAGGAATTACGGCAGGAAAGCAGCCCACAAGGGGTTCGGCCACACTCCCACCGCCTTTGCCCCAAACAGCGATGACTCAGAAGCCCTGCCACAGCCCACTGCCAGCTCCAGCATCACTGCAGTCACAAGTCCTCACCCCAATCCTGCACAGCGGGAATGGGCACCCCCACCCCACGCCCGTTTTAGAGGTGTGAGAGCTATGGCTTGGGAGGGCGCTGTGATTTGCCCAACCTCACACAGCCCAAGAGCAGCATGGCAGGATTGCAACACGTCCACCCTGGGCTTGGCTGATGAAGATCCTTCCCTGCTGTGGAGTTTCTGGCCCCCTGAGAGCTGATGACCTTGGGGAAACCGAGGCAGCTGGGGGAAGGGGCAGGCAGCGGTACCTGCAGCTGCTGCAGCTCGCTCATGTTGCTCTCACACTGTGCCAGCATGTCCCGCATCTGGTTCTCGTGTTTCTGCTGTTGCTGCAGCCGCTCCGACTTCTGCCTCTTCTCCTCCTGCTGGGAGAACTGCACCAGAGAGAGAGTGGGTGCCTCAGGGGGCCAGGGCCTGGCTGGTTGGGTAGGGAGCCCACCTCAGCCCTGGCCTAGGGAGACCCTTCAGGGGACTGGTCTGTGCCCAGCTCCAGTACCCAGCACCACCCCAGGCAGTGCCTGTGTTAAGTCCTCACCCTGAGCTGAGATCCAGCCCCTACTCTCAAGGAGCTCCCAGGATGGTGGGGACGTGACACTGTAATGTTACACATGCCAGGAATGTGTGTGTGCCAGGCAGGAATCACAGGGTCCATGTGCCCAAGCCACACGGCAACACAGGATGTGGGGAAGATGCCCAGATAAAAGCATAGGAGTGCGGAAGGGAACAGCACAGGAGAATCTGTAGCACAGCACCACGCTCCCGCCTCTGCCCACACACACAGGTGAATTCATCAGGAGGCTGATGAAGCTTCCAGGGCACACGTGGTGACTCACACAACCGCCCCCCCACCCAACCCCAAGACCTTATGGTGGGAGAGTCAAGGCGTATCTTTCTTTTTTTTTGAGATGGGGTCTTGCTCTGTCACCCAGGCTGGAGTGCAATGGTGTGACCTTGGCTCACTGCAACCTCCCAAGCAATTCTCCTGCTTCAGCCTCCTCAGTAGCTAGGATTACAGGCATGCGCCACCACACTGGCTAATTTTTGTATTTACTAGAGACAGGGCTTCACCATGTTGGCCAGGATGGTCTCGAACTCCTGACCCGAGGTGATCTGCCCGCCTCAGCTTCCCAAAGTGCTGAGATTACAGGAGTGAGCCTTTTTATTTTGAGACAGAGTCTCGCTCTGTTGCCCGGCTGGAGTGCAGTGAGGAGATCTCAGCTCACTGCAACCTCTGCCTCCCAGGCTCAAGCGATCCTCCCACCTCAGCTTTCCAAGTAGCCAGCATACCGGGCTAATTATTTTTAAAATTATTTTTTGTAGAGATGGGGTTTTGCTCGGCTGCTCAGGCTGGTCTCAAACTCCCGGACTCAAGCGACCCGCCTGCCTTGGCCTCTCAAAGTGTTGAGATTACAGGCGTGAGCCACCACGCCCAGCCCGTATCTTGTTTCATATTCTCCCAAATCGTATAAAGCCCAGGCCCCGCCAAACCTGGCCCTGCCTGCACCCCAGCACACCCGCAGACCCGCACACCGGCTCCCACCTGCTTGATCTTCTCACGCTGCTCAGCCGCGCTGCCTGCGCCATTGATGTGGAGGCTCTTCTTGTACATGGCCATGCGCGTCTTGCCCTCACTCCTCTGAATCTTGGGCAGCCGCGCCTTTTCCTGCTGCTGCCGCACCTTCAGCTGCTCGATCATGCGCTGGTTGTAGCGTTGCATCTGCTCCCGCTCCTGGGGAGGAAAGCCCCGGGGGCGGCGCTGAGGTCAGCTGCACTCTGCCCTCGGAGTGCGGTCAGAGGCTAAAGGCCCCCACACTCCATTCCGGGGCCCAGGACCAACGCAGCCCACAACGTTCAGCAAAGCAAGGCTTGTTATTTTACTTCTGCTAGTAACATTTTTTTTCTTCTCACTTTAAAAATTCTTGTTAGTATTTTGGATTCTTACCTTCTTTTTTTTTTTTTTTTTTTTTTTTAAAGACTGGGTTTCACAGTGTTGGTCAGGCTGGTCTTGAACTCCCGACCTCAGCTGATCCACTTGCCTTGGCCTCCAAAGTGCTTGGATTACAGGTGTGAGCCACCACGCCCGGCCTTGATTCTTACCTTCTAAATGCCTTCTCATCTAATGAATGGTTGTATGCCATCATTAGCTAGTATCTCAAAGCAAAATGTACACTAAACGGGATGGTTCATCATCAGTGATGGCAGATGTGAATTTATATTTTTTTAAAAAACTTGATACATTTAAATTTTTTTCCTTCCCCTAACACCTATTTGTATTTCAAAGCTCAGCATGGGCATCACCTCCTCCATGAAGCCTTCCCTGATT